AACTGAAAGCAAAGCATGAAAAATAAGAAATGGGATCATGTCTTGACATCATCCACAGGTAAAAGATTTTAGAGTTGCAGCAATAAAACGGTGTGCTGCAGGCATAGAGACAGAACCTATACTTACATGCCTTCATATATGGAACCTGTTACCTCAAAAAAATGAATCCTTGCTGGATTAAGGATTTAAATATGGAAAACATTTAGAGCAGCAACGAGGCTGCTGGCTGACGTTGCTGACTCTGTCAGGCATTGCACTGACCCCTGACAGACAGTGAGGAATTACCCCTCGCCAACACCGAGTCAGGCACTGCCCGAGGGAGGGAGGGGTCTCCTGCGTCTGTGCATGTAGTGTATCTTCATGATGCCCGAGGGAAGGATGTCTCAGAAAACAAAACCACTAAGGAAAAGACTGATGATGAAATTAAGGACTTTGTTAAAAGAAACCATAAAGAGGTAAAACACACCGAGAGGACAATGCCACACAGTATGATTAAAAAGGGATTTGTATTCTTACTGTGTAAGAACTATGAATTAGGACCAAGATAAATAACCCACCTAAAAAATGGGCAAAAGCGATGAGCGGAAGAAACACAAGCAGCCCAAAGGTACTCACAGATAGTTACCTTCATTGAGTCAGGGAAAACCACAGTGAAGTAATTCTGAAACCTAAGCAGCAGAGGGAAAGATCTGGAAATACCAGTATTGAAACGATACGGGTGATGGAGTCTTATGCAGTACTGATTGGAACAGAAATTGGTCGATTTTGAAGAACAACTTGGCAGCGTTGTGGTATAAAGTTGAAGGTGTACCAACCTTATGGTTCAGCAATTCTGCTCCAGTTACACAGCCCAGTATCCAACCTGGGAGAGACACCTGCACACTGAGAGAGGTCCAAGGAATTTCTGGAGTAGTATCGCTTATAATAACAAAAAATTGGGAGCAACCTAAATGTCTTAGTAAAACGAATCTGTAAATAATTTCCTAAAAAGGCAGTGAAAATTAATTAAACCAAATTATACATATCAA